CCTTAGAATCTTTACACTCCCTGGAACTAACATGGAAGTGGAGAATGGCCCCTTGGAAGACCATTTTCCACTACAAACATGTAGTTGTCCACTTCCATGTTAGTTTTCGGGAGTGTAGAATGAACGTGGCGCCAGCACAAACGATCATGAACAGTTCGTCATCGGGAAGAATGATGGGGCCCGCAAGGCGGAGTGGCCAGAAGTCAGGAGTGCTCGCTTCAGCCAGCCGGCCTGCGAAGACATATTTGATTAGATGTTCAACTGGGTGCCAGCAGTAGGATAGGCAACATCACCCAACAGCAACCGTAACAAAAGCAGCACATCCAACGGCGCAGGTTCTGAACCCATAGTTCTTGCCACTCCATTACATCAAGGCACCCGGCTGCAGCGGCCACACCTTGAACTTCATGGGGCAGCGATACCATGGCGCACACTCTCACGCTGCTGAAGGCAGAGCGATTTAGCCGCGGTTGTGGGAGAAACGCTTGCGCTTTGTCCAAACCCCCTCAGCAAGTGGGTGTCACTGTCTAACAATAGTTTGAGTCACCCAACTGGCTGCAAGTATGCATCGCATCGCCCAACGTTGCTGTCTCACTGATGGACCAAACCCCCCGAAACGTCCCCATCCTGTCCCCCAACCGTCAATCCCGTAGAGACCCGAAAGAATGCGCCTGGTCATGGTCTGAGTGCTCTGGAAGAAGACTCGCTGAAAGCTCTTCACCGATTTCTTGCCTTGTCGGATTTGCAACCGACGGACGGGCGGACCTATGTCATATCGTTTAACAGGATAGCAGGTGTTGGATAAGAAGCCCCAACATCCCCACACAGGGGTGGAGAGAGCGGGCATTCAGGCCCTAGATATGGTCCTAGTTAATGATTCCCAGTTACTTAGCTCAGAGTTAGCTAGTGAAAAAGAATGAGACACAAACACATCCTATGGCATCCTACTCGGCCTTCAACAAGCACCATCAGCAAAGGGGTGACCAGTTGAGACCATTTCTGGAGCTGCCGACGACCTCAAACGACCTTGGCGTCGGCTTCGGCTTTGGTCTCCCGTCCGGGGGTTGCTGGGCACACCAATGATTTGGTCGTTCAGGGCTTCACCCAAACAGGTCCCATCGCTGTGTTTCGCTTCACGCAGAACCTGCGTTTCGCCCAGACTGCAACACCTAGCGGGGTCACAGGTCGAGTGGCAGGTGGGGCAGCGGACATCCGGATGCAAACCACTGCCATCCGGCAAGGCATAGCCTTGGATGTACCATCACATGGGAAAGGCGTGATGGAATGCATGTCATTGGGGGCAGGCTTTCCAAGAGCCATCATGGCGGGGACTGCTACTAACAACTGACAAAACATTGAAACACTGAAACATCTTGTTGAGACTTTAGTGAGTGGTGAATGTCCCCTTCTTATCCTTCTTTCACTTCCAGCTGTTCAGCTCTGTCTTGAAAGGGACCTCAAGATGTCTCCCTTAGCGACGATCAGGCACAAGGAATGCCGGTGATGAGAGTACCTCTCCCATCCTCTCCCCCCTACTAAGTAGGCACTTCGATCGGCTTGGTTTCACCGATGCCTTCCTTGTTTCTACTAGCTTCTTGTTACTACTAGTAAGGCACTTGTTACTACTAGCGTGGCACTTGTTACTAGTAGCTTCCTTGGAAGGCTGACCCCTCCCCCCAAGATCTCGTATGTTCGCCCACGGTCTGCCCCATGGTATGCCACTGGAACCACTGGAACCGGCGCCATTCGTGGCAAGCATGCATCCACTTCGCCACTTCGCCACGGTGCGAGGAATGTCGCGAGGGACCGGCACCGGTCGTTCAAACCAAAGAGAACCCATCGTTCCCATCCAACACCATGCGAAACCATGTTATATAACTGGGAATACAACTGGGTTGTAAATAAACTCAGTAGTCAATCTGCGACGTGTCCATTCCAACAATCGTTGACTTCACCCACCTGCTCCTTCCAGGCCAGAAGACGCAATGAGCAGCGGAAGCACACGAGGAGATGCCCACAAGGGAGGCACCTCAACAAGGGAGGCTGTGCAGGTGAAGACTCAGGAGGCCACGGACAAAACATCACAAAACGTTCAAAAGATTTCTCGAAAGCCTCAAAGTGATGGACAAGCGCCATACCCTTTGCAAGTTGTGTTGATTCGTTCTGTGTCCGGCAGGGGGGCACTGACTCGAGGTGTGGGCTCAATTTCTTGAGGGTGTTGCTTTGCTCTGGTTTGGGGGTTGTGGGCGTCAGTGGAATGTTGCCACAAGCGGCCTCGTGTGAGAATGGACATCCATCATCCCCCACCAGAATTTCACAATCACGTTGAGCGTGCCATGCAGCTCCAGGATGATTGACCCTTTCTAAGTCCACTCCCTCTTACTTTAGCCCCAAGGCACATGGTGTTGGCTGCGGCGTCTCCACACAGGATACAAGACCCAGTGGCCAGCCCTTCATCACGCGGTGCGCCAGTACGCAGCTCGCGCGCCGCTCCCGCAGCCGCGGCGGGGCCGCGGCGGGCAGCGCTGTAGCCGGGCGGAGCTACACGGGCAATGGAGGGCAACTCTTGAAACTCCGGCTCACCTCAGTTCGGGCAGATGGAGGGCAGCTCACTTCGCATATATCTATCTAATCAATCTAACCTATCTAATCAATCTAAACATTCTAAACAAGCTAACCAATCTAATCTATCTAATTTATTTAATCTACCTAATATACCTAATCTATCTAATCAATCTAAACTATCTAATGAATCTAATCTATCTAACCTATCTAATCTATCTAGTCTACCTAATCTATCTAATCGATGAAATCCATCTAATCGATCTAACCGATCTAATCATTAATCTATCTGATCTATCTGATCTATCTACTCAATCTGCTCAATCTATTCAATCTAATCAATCTAATCAATCTCATCTATCTGATCTATCTAATCTATCTAATCTATCTATTCTATCTATCTATCGGTCGATCTATCGATCTATCTATCCATCTATCTAAAGATCTTGTGACACAATAAATGCTGTGTGTACACCACCCTGTATAGATATTCAATAATGGAAGTGGCCCGTGTACTCTGCCAAGGGGCGCTTGAGGCAGCACGCGCACGCCTTCTGGCCCATGATGCGTGCCAAGGAGGCAAAATCTGCTAGGGAAAGAACAGGAGATATCTTGAGCTGTTGCTGTGAAGAAGGTGTACATGATGACAGTATGTGCAGATTCGCCATGGATGTCTCAAAACATCTCAAAACTAAGTTGTTTGTTCTCCTCTCAGGCCTCTAATTGAAACGACCTCCGAGGGAGTTTCCCAAACCTGCGCAAGCAATCGCAACTGCTAGTGGCGAAAGGCTGCATGAAAGTTCGTGACATGCTTCCAAACAGGTTGCCTGGTCATGCAAAAGGGCTAGGTGGCTAAAGAATGCTAGAGACATACCGAAGGTTGGGCAGCCAGGAGACCTAGTCCTTATGTCCACTGGTTCTTGAGCCTTGGCGCTGGTAGGCTGTGGTAGGCAAGCGGCTGGGAAGGAAAGGTTTGCCGCATGCCAGGCACAATTGGCTGTCCAAATGGATAGCATCAGAGACTTCAACTCATTTTTCTAGCAGTTGGGCACTCTGAGGCTTGGCCCAGCAAAGTAATTCCAGCAAACCGGACCCGAGCTCTTGACCTGTTGGGGGGGAGTTCATCTGTACTTGGCCACCGGTTAGTATCTAATATCACAATTTTATATAATATATATTGAAATACTATATAAGTGTATAAGGCAAATGTTGAAGATAGAACATTCCACGAACCTTCCCGGATAGAGAAAAGGGAAGAAGCCAAAAATCTTGGGAAAATCCAAAAGACCACCGAACCACCAACGTGTTCCTTTGTTTCCTTTGCGTATCTCAATTTCCAGGTCACATGCTTATCAGGAATCTTCGCCCAAATCCATGCCAGCTTCTTCTAAGTGACTTTTTGGAGGCCCTGCGGGCACGTCACATCATGGGGAAGCACAGAAACACATAAAGCCACCCAAGCTTGAAACAAATGCAACTGAACCCGGATCTTCAGGCAAGAACGCCCCCTTTCGTTCAAATTTAGCGCAGCTGATGCAGGGTTTCAACTAGGGGTAAGGTATCAAAAAGAATATAAATAGAATCAACAAACATATTCAACGGGGATCCCAAAAAAATAAAAGGGCACCAAAAAAAAATTCTAGCCCACTGAGGATGGTTGGGGTAGTGGTAGTAGTAGTAGTAGTAGTAGTAGCAGTAGCAGTAGCAGGAGACCAAGGGAAGAGGATGGAAGGAGTAGGGGACTAGGAGAGTGTACCTCCCTAGGAGCTCCTTCGTAGGGAGCTATTTCTACTGGTGAACCATTTTTCCAGTAGGGCTACTCAATGACTGGACGGCTACCATCATTGGGTACCTACTTTCCTCCCAGGGAGCTGCCTCTAGTAGAAAGCAATCAAGCCTCTATTTGCGCAAGCAGGGGACCAGGAGACCGAAAGACGAGCGGAGTAGGAGAGCAAGAGACCAGCGGACCAGGAGACAGAAGGACCAGGATACCAGGGGACCAGCGGACCAAAGGACCAGTGGACCAGAGGACTAAGGGACCAAAGGACCAAGGAACCTTATTACCAGAGGACCCGCAGACCACAGGGCCAGGAGAGCAGCAGAAGAGGCCTATCAAGGAATATGTTTTTTTTGATTCGCGTTTTATGTTTATGTTGATCCTCTTTTTTTTATGCTCGCTCTATTTTTTTGGATACCTATGCCTTCAACTAGGAACTTTTTTTGTAGACCAGGTCTTCCTATTCTGACCCCTCAAGTTTACTTGAACTATGTCCAACTGTTCATGTATTATTGTGGGCGCATGAATCCCCAAGAGTTAAAGGTTATCCACTTTTCCTGTGTGGGTGTTAATCCATATTGATCCTACTGTCACGTCTGGTGGCTCAACAGAAGCTGCCAGCTACTTGATGTCGCGCTCTGTGGTCTCTGGGGTTCCCAGCTTGGTTCTTGTCACAAATCAGCCAGGCCTCGACTCAAGTGATGATCGTGGGTCAGTGGCTGCTGTGAAGGCACCAGCATGTTGGGAGAGGCTGGGCTCGGAGTGCTCTGGTCTCTGTGCTCTGAGGCTTGGAGGCGCCGGTGCGAAGAACATCGTGAAAACATCATCGGATCCACGGTGATTGGCCTAGCTCAAGACTTGGCTGGTGTATAGTATACCATCTCTATATACCTGAAGTCATCAAGTATATATAGGCTCCAAATGTCTTCCATCACCACTCACCGCGTTGGAGAACTCCAACGCCTTCCATTCTGAGCTACCCAGCCCCACTGATCCAACGCTCGTCCCCGAACACGCTGGCGTTGGCGTCCAGCAGGGCCTGGAAAGAAAATTGCCATTTTCTCGAACGATTCCGTGAACATAGGGATTGTGGAGCTTGTGGGGTGAAGTTTGCTGATGGATTCTGAAGTAGAAATTCCGTGAACATTGCAACTTCCTAGCAGAAGCCCTCCACTCCTGGCAGAACCTCCAACTTCCTCCCAGGAACTCGCCAGCTCGTTCTGCGCCTCCACGTACTCGTCATTGCTGATCATCCCATTGAGCGCCTCGGTCCATTCGAGTCCATCGATGCAACCGGCACCTGAAAGTCCCGTTCTCATGTTGCTTGCTAGTGGCGGAATGTGGTGGATGACTCGCAAGTGGGGTCAAAAGGGAGTCAGACTGGATTGTGACTGGATTTGAGACCATCCGTCACGGAAGTAGCAATATGGTCAGTATGATAACTCTCTACTCTACCCAGCTCTACCCTTTGCAGATCTTCCAACTAGACCAGGAGTCGCTTCAAACGGCCCTCCCCACAATCCAGACTCGCAAACGCTGAAGGAGCCTTGCAATTCCAGTCCCACAGCGGGGCTTGTGGCCCCCTCAGACATCCTCTCACGCACCCCCAAAAATATATATATATATAAATCCTTTGGACAGCTTTAGTAAGCATGGTAAGCATGGTTGGATCCAATTCTTCCTGGTCGGACCTGACCGGACGGGGCGTCCCAGCCTTCGTGGCATTGAGCCGCTGCGTGGCCGTGGCGGAGATCAAATTCTGCGACTGCCACCTGTGTCGTGCGAAAGGGCTCGGGAAAGGCTCCCCAAAAGCCCCAGGACGACACTGAGAATTCCGGCTTTCAACATGTTTCAACTGGTTCCAGAAAATGGGTGGTACCCAAGCCCACTGATCTGTGCTTTTGAAAAGGGCTTCCAGGGAGGTTGTAATTTCTGCTGGCAACCCGCTGGCTGAGCATTCCAACGCTAAACAATCATGATTCATGATGGACAATCGTAGTTTTGGTGCATACTTCTCCGGCCCAAAGTATGTACCATGCACTATGATCTAACCTCCAATGTGTCTCTTCCACACGGCATTTGTCCTCCATGTTACTATTATATAGAGGTACACATCAGTATCAATGCGCACAGCCTTCTATAGATCATGAACCATATGCTTGAAATCGAACATTATATATATCACATTAGATCACTATATACTATTATATACTATATACATATATAGAGGTTTGCTCCAACATCAACAACTTCTACAACTTGTTTATACCACAATTCCATTAAACATCGACCTTTCTTTGAACGACACCGTCACCTTAGCCCGTCCGATCCGTCACCGCGCGACACGCGCGTGATCGCGTTGCTGGGCGGCCCCCGCAACCCCAAGGAGCTCTTGGGCACGTAGCCATCGGCGTCCAAGTCCAAGGCCGTCCACCTCAAACCGCCCGGACGCCACGTGACGCGGAGGCTGGTGGTGGAGCAGCAGCCTAAGGGCCTAGGTTCTTGGAGCTCTGGGGGTGCTCCGTTGGTCACGATGTCCTTAATGAATCTTTAATGAACAGTCTGAACAGTGATGACCATTCTCAAGGACCGAGCTACACACATGGCATGGGTCGAGTGATGTCTTGGGGTGGGTTTCTGATTTATATAGTGGTATGCTTGGTGTTTGACCTTCGGATGGTCAGATCATGTCGGATCCATCACTCGAGCAGGAAGCCGAAGAAGGGGAAGGGCATCAAATGACGTTGCTTTGCTGCTACTGCTAAACAGGCTAAACGCATTTAATAAAATCCAATTAAGTGCCACCATTTTAAGAGTACAGGTTTCCATAAATCTCACTTCTAGTGTACTCAACGGAAACCCATCCACCCCTCCCCCAACCCTCTACGGATCATCTTCGCCCAGTGACGCTTCTTGGATGATCGCAGCGCCTGAACAAAATCTGGCCCAAACACGACGAAAGCGCGCAAAAAACGGCAAAGGTGTCTCTCCCAAGTGCGGTGTCTCCCCAACTGGATATCCCTCGACTCCTTGGCAAGTTGGAGGCATCTGCAGGCATCATCTCCAATCAAAGGAACCCCTCCCTTTCGACGAGAAGAGAAGGGCCCGCCTTCTCAAGAGGCTTCCAACTACGAGAGAGTTCTATACCAAGTTCTCGACATCACCAGACATCTCGAACAGACTTGGAGCTGCCGGGAAGTTGGCCGCAGCCGTGGGCACCAAAGTAAAATATAGTCATAATATAAAATCATACTAGATCATACTAGTATATCAATTCTACCCCATTCATCTGGTGCAGGAACTTGAGAATCTGGACAGGGGGCATTGCATCAGATCGAGAATTCCCCTTCAAGTTCTGCCAAGACATCCCACTTCATCAGCATACACGTCTAAAACCGGGGGAGAAAGCACCACCCCTTCACCCCTTCACCCGCTCCTGCCGCCGGCGCGCCGCTTCTGGGCAATGAGCAGCTCCACCTGCCGACCGTCGCCGTCGTCGAACCAGGAAGTCATTCAGGGACTTTGAACGATGAAAAACGCACAAAGCAACTCAAAGCAACCAGAAACTCAGGCAACGTCATTCTGACGTTGGAGGCGTTTCTGCGCCTTCCCCCGGAGGGAATCACTCCGGTCTCTTTCCAAGCCAAGGTCTGGGGTGCCGCGCACTTGTGGCTGGACCTCTTGATCATGGCCCACATTCAAGACCGACATGTAAGCTTCAGTCCTGGCATCTCAACATCGATGCCACAGTCTAGCACCCAAAGTCCGGAATTCTTGTTCCACACCGTTGGAGCCGAGAGGAAAACAAACAGATTGCCAAGAGACACAAACGTACCATTGCAAATTCATGCAAGAATCCTTACATCATGCATCTATCATCATGTTGTCCTGTACAGGCTCCTGCTTGACTCATGTATTCAACCTGTCCGCCCCCCAACACAGCCTGAAGAATACGACCCAAACAATCAGCGGCACCTTGGTTGATGGGCGGAAACAAAATAAAAGAACAAACTTCTATCACATCTTTATGCCGGTCAAACAACCGTCACACCTTAAACATTTAAATAATTAGCTGGCTTGGAAAGGACGACCTTGCCCAAAGGTTTCGTTCAAAAGGAGTCTACTCTATGGTTTATGGATGTCAAGGCAAGCATGGATGATGGTGGTTTGCTCATGTTTGCTCTCTCTCTCTCTCTCGATCATCCAAAAAGCATCAAACAGCGGCATCGACTCGGTGATCGTACGGCTGGGCCCAGCCGACGCCGCGGCGGACGGTAGACCGCGAATGAATTCGTCCGGTGCAACGAGTTGGCACCGGCTCGGGCGATGGGTCCTTGAGGAGTTCGGCAACAGTTCGGTGCAACACGTGTACTTCAGTTTCCCAGATGCTCCATGTATGGAATATTCACCTACATTGACCCCCGAAAGCACCCCAATGTATGTAAATATGTCATACATGGAGTGTCTGGGCTGGTAAGGAGGTTGATCACAAACTCAACGCCATGTCGTCGTTGAGTTCGTCCAAACCTCGACTGAGTTGGTTCCCTTAGTATATATACAGTATATCGAAAGAAGGCCAATGGTTGTTTTTCCGGGCAGGTCACCCCACACAATTGAAAATGAATGCAATAAATAATCATTCGTTTTAAGATTTATGGTTTCACTGGCGAATGGGTGACGGTCGCGCTTGAACGAGGCTGCGACCAAGAGCAGCAAAGTCATACAGCAAGCAATCTGAAGACTCGCCCTGCAAGTTGGGCATTTGTTTCGGAGGACATCACACTGACTTGCTTGCTGCTTGATCTTTTTTTGGGAGTCAAGAGTGGGGTCAAAGCCTACCGCAATCTCAGCCATCCTGGCCATTTGTGGCTATCTTTTTTGGGTATCTGCAACGAAGCATGCATGCGATTCCCTGAAGGCAGCGTGTGAAGTTGTCGAGTTCGTGGCACACGAAGGTCGGCCTGCAGCATCCAGCGGGCTTCTTCTCTCGGTCGGCCACGAAGGCTCCTTTGCCGTGACCCACCTGGGGCGGTCTTTTTCGAAGCGACGCGACCCAGCGGGGTAGGCCGCATCCCATGTGGCCGAAGGAGCTTCACTCCAACTTCAAGAAGCGAAGACGAGGAGCCCCCGTTCTTAAAGTGTAAGTTCAAGAGGCTTCCACGGAACCTTCTTGTTCCACTTCCATGTTAGTGAGCGGGGGGTAGAAAAAACGTTAATTATACTTTCACGACAACTACTGAAGCTGAGGACAAGTCAAGCATCTTTTGCCTCTCCTCTGGGCCCAAACAAAAGGTCAAACACTACCATTGGACGTATATACAGTAGTCTACCCTGTGTCATGTCACATGTCATAGAATCATAATTTTCATAGAATAGAATACAGCATACAGTAATAGCTACCATAGTAGGTCTCATGGTCTCACTGACTTGCTTCTTGGCTGTGCCAAGAAGAGAAGCACTTGGTGGCTTTGCGAAGGCCTTCGTTTTTAGTCACTGAGGACTGAGGACCCAGGCAAATTCCAATTGCTTGTTTTCCGCCCAATCGCCTCTACCTGGACGTGGCGACCTGGGGACCTTGGTGTGGAAGACCTTGGGACGTGGTATGCCCTGGGGACCGGGCGACCTGGGCTACCTGCAGGTCCGAAGGCTCAACGGAATCACCACTGCACTTCCGGAAATGATCCTCGCGTTCTTTAAAAGGGAGCTGATATCATGATCCTGACGTCGAATCAAGTTTCCCCATCCAAAGACAAAGCTGATGAACCCAACCCCAGGTTCACCCACCAATAAAGACTCTGAGCGCGCCCTGGCGGTGGCCCGTGCCGGAGGTAGAAAGGCCCAGGCGGCGTTTTTTCGGCGGCGCCTTGACCGACATAGGTCCAAGTCAAAGGTCTTCCTTCCTCGGCCGCGTCCTCATCAAGGCAATCGCACCTGAAGCGACTCAAGACGAGCCAAAATGAGCCGCAACAGGTTGCCACGTGACCATGGCTCTCCAGAGAAACACAGAAAGTAGACTGCCTTGGCCCTTTGGAAGACGGGCTCTCCCCTACAAACAGGGGGGATCCACGTCCAGCCGGTTCTGCCACCCGAGGGCATCTGAGTCCGTGTGAATCAGTAGGAATCAGCATCAGAACTCGGAAACTCTGCACATCTGTACTTGAAAAATGAAACATCCACAAGCAGGACAAGGTCAGGTGAGGCTGATGATGGCTGTCGGCTGAGCATCCAACATGTCCACCAAAGGGGGCCTCGCCTCAGCTGCAAGGGCTGCGACAACATCAAGAAGAACATGGATGGTGACAAATGACTAATGACGTAATTTGACATGACCTATGACGACCTATCACCTATGATGACCCACCCAACTTCCACATCGGAACTTCAGAATGTCCTCTCATGTTGCCGTGGAATGCCTTGGAATCCTTCAAATCTGCAGGAAAATCACCGCCCAACCTGGCACCCGGCGTCAGGTTAAGACCCCTCCGCCTCCGGTTCCCACGTCCAACCCACCGAGAGCCTCCCCACGTCCGCCACGCCCAGCGCCGCCGCCCACGGAGGTCCGCGGATGGGAGTTGGAGCCCAAAAACGGGTCTGCGGGACGCGAGGTGAACTCGAACTGCAGGGACGCTCATCTGGAATCATATCGGATGGGACCATCAGCTCAATCATGCTCTATAAGCATCATTTGAGCACGTGGGTGCCTGTACCTGGATCGTCCAACTAGATGCAAAATGTATGCCTTTGGGCGGTTTTTTGGAGATGAAAAGGCCAACATTTGGCACAGTTGGGAGATCCAGCTATACAAAGAACGCAAGCCATCCCAAACGGGCCAGTGTCGCCATCCCAATCAATCGCGCAAATGTGGCACTGTCACAAACATCTTCGTTGCCAATCCCTGTGACTTCTGTGATAACTTGGTTACGGGACTCACCTCACGCCTCGCCGCGGTGCCTCGCGCGGTGCCGTGCTTTTGGTCGCTGCTCATGGCGGCGATGGCAGTGGAGCGCCTCACTGGAGCTCGGGCGCCTCACTGGAATGAAGCTCCGCCTGGCGTAACAGCGCAAAAGGAGAGGTGGTGGTGCCCTCTCAAAAGGTTAAATGAAAGAATGAATGATGGCTTGAACCGATGGATCACCACTCGATCTGAATAATTACATATTCTGACAATGGTAATTTGAGATCCGTTCAGAGGGGTCTGATCGTGACTTCCCACCCGTGGCGGGTGGCGTGGGAAGATGCATGCATAGATGATCATGGGCTCATAGATGCATACGGCGGTCTTTCGCGCAAATGGCCAAGACACAAAGGGTTTCGAGACTCACGAGGAACTAAAGAAACAATGGGGCAATCGCGTAGATAATTGAGGGAAACACCATTCATACCAGTCCTTGGATCAAAAAATGGGATCATCTAAATCTTCTTGAACCAAATGAAGCTATGTTATATGGATCATCATGAACCAAATGAAGTGCCCCACTTAGAAGATTAGCTGTGTAGCTCGCGGAGGCGTCTAACCTCATGAAATCACTATGAAAAATAGGTCCTTATCAAGGTCCTGTACAATCGATGCGCGCTCAAATGGCGAAGAAAAGAAAGTGCTTCAGGAGAAGAACAAAGGATGAGAGCACCTTTCCCGCCATGTGCGGGACTTCATTTTTTGAAGGTCCTGGACATCCGCACGCTGTTGCGCTGACCCTCGGGAAGCTGCGCCACCTTGGCTCCCAACTCGGCTCCGCCCGCTTGTGCCAACATGTAGGAGGGCCGCAAGTTGTTGGACATGCGCCGGCTGTTGCGATCCTTGGCCTGCAAGGCTGGGTTGCGGTCGATGGTGGCAGGCTTGTACTTGTCCCAAAGCCTCCCAGCTGTCATCTTCACCAGGTCCAAGAAGAGCAACCAGGCGATGTCATAGAGCCACACCTTGGCCACGTCGGAAGGGCTCAACTTATCCACCAGCCCTGTTGGTGCCCACAAGCACCAAATGTTGATCAGCACCTGTCCCAAGGCAGTGGAAAAGGTCAACTGCCATGCCGGCATGGTGGAGAAGAAAAAGCCAACAGTACGAGCAGAGAAGATCAAAATTGCTGAGGAGTTGGAGATCTGCAGAAAGATCGTGGTCTCCATGTACTTGTTCATCTCATTCCCGGCCATCTTGCTGCTCATGCTTTCAAAGTAGCCATCTCCGTAGGCGTCCGAGAGGAAGAGGTGGCCGTAGGACACCAGCAACATCGTCTGGATAAACATCAGAATGCCCATGGAATAGCTCTGCAAGAGCAATCCCAAGACTGTGGGTGTCTCAGGCTTTGCGCCAGCCACTTGATGGTCGTAGGCGATGGTGACGATCTGGAGGTCGTGGAACAAGGCCAACAGAATGATATAGAGCGCCTTGAAGCGGAGGTTGTAGAAGATAGCGAGGGCGGCCAAGAAGAAGACCACCTGCACTGTGATGCAAATGCGGTAGATCACATAGGATTTCAGGCGCTTGAAGATACGCCGAGAGATCTGAATGGCGGTGTAGATGGGGGAGAGACCGTCCTTGGTCAAAACGATATCACCAGCTGACTTGGCCGCATCTGTCGCACCGTGCACGGCGATGCCAATTTGTGCTTTGGCCAAAGCAGGAGCATCATTCACACCATCACCTGTCATGCCAACCACGAGGCCCTTGTCTTGAAGCACCTGCACCACCTCGTGCTTGTCCAGTGGCTTCACCTTCGCAAAGCCGTCCGCTTGCATCACGATGAGATCACGGGCATCACTGGGTGGCTGCAAGCAATCAGGCGTCCGGATATCCGTGCCCAAATCGATCTGGCGGGCCAACTCCTTTCCGATGTTGTGATGATCTCCGGTAATCATCTTCACTGCCACCTGTGCTTCTTTGATCTTTCGAATGGTTTCCTTGGTGTCATGTCTTGGGGGATCCATAATGAGCAAAATGCCGATGAACTGCATAGGGCCACCATTCTTGGACACTCCCACGCCCAGGGTCTTGAAGCCCGAGACGCCCAAATCCGCATCAGCCTTGTGCGCCTGCTTGGACATTTCCTCATAGTTGTCCACAGTCCACTGCTTTCCCTCATCATCGGGGTTTGTCTTCAAGATCACGTCCACCATGCCTTTGGTGCAGAACCATTTTGTGCCATCCTTTGCCGTGACCGCAGCGCAGGTACGCTTCACGATCGGATTGAAGCCCATAAAGCCCTCGGGATCCAAAGTGTAGGATTGCTCTTATCCACAGCATCATCCACATTGGTGAGCCCCTTGCTTTTGGCATAGGCACGCAGCACTGCAGAGTCAATGGGGTCATCCTTGTTGGCTTCATTGGATGCCAGGGAGGCAAACTCCAGGACCTGCTCTGCAGAGAAGCCGTTGTAGGCCTTGGCTGTCTCGTCGTAGTAGACCGTCATCTGGGCCGTGGTGAGGGTGCCCGTCTTGTCGGAACACAAGACCTTCATTGAAGCAATCTCCTCCAACGCAGTCAAGTGAGTTACAATGCCACCTTCGTCCGACATTTCCTTGGCACCAATGGACAAAGTCACTTTCATCACCATGGGGAGGGCCACGGGCACGGAAGCAATGACCAAGGACAGCGACATCTCCAAGACTTCCGTGATCTCAACCCCCTGGACGACGTACATGAAGTAGAACAGGAAGGTCACCACCACAACAGTGATGAGAATCAACACTTGCGCGGCTTCAATAATCTTCCCCTCAAAAACGCCGATGTCCTTGCCACTGGCCTCTTGAATGGCCTTGGCCGCCTCTCCAATCATGGTGTTCACGCCGGTGTGGCTGACCACGGCTTGGCACTCACCCACTTTCAGGATGGATCCGGACCACATCTGACGTCCCGAGAAGGGCTTCCCGGAATCATCCTTGCGCGGGACCTTCACCGGCAAGGACTCGCCCGTCAAGGCCGCTTCATCCACCTGGCAGGGATCGCCTTCCACCCAGTAGCAGTCCGCCGGCACAATGTCGCCGCCGCGCATGAAGAGCACATCTCCGGGCACCACCTGGGCGAGAAGAGTCAGATCGGTATGAGCCAAACCACCTGGGGGTTCCGAAAATGCGAGTGAAGCAGGGCATCATGTGAGCGAATAATATAGAGTGTTGGAAGAAAAGAGACCGAAGAACCAATTATCAATGGATACTGTATAGAGGGTGATGGGGGATGGCGCACCTGCACCACAGGGATGCTATCGAACTTGCCATTGCGCTTGACCGGCATCTTCTTCTCCAAGCCGGCCTTCAAAGCATCCACGGAGGCTTGTGCGCTCTTCTCTTCGAAGAATCCCAGGGTGCCGTTGGTCATCAACAAAACCATGATGATGGTGAAGTCCGGCCAGTTGTGAATCAAAAAGCACAACAAGGCGGCACATTCGATCATGATTTGCATGGGTCCGGTGAACTGTTTCAAGAACATCTTCCACAAAGGTTCCTTCTCCTCAGGCACTTCGTTCAAGCCGTACTTCTTCACCAGCTCGGCCACCTCCGCATCCGTGAGGCCCTTCAACAGCCCTTCCTTGTCACTGTCAAGCTTGGAGAGCGCAAAGGGCGGAGGCAAAGGCCCCGCAGGCGCATCGCCCATCTGCTGATAGTCACCCATGGCCTGAGTGATTCGTGTTCGCTCCCTCTGTGACAACTCTGATTCAACTCTTCCCAGCTGAGCCGAAGAAAGTCAGTTTGGCAGTTGCTCGAGCTAGCTGCTGGCTGTAGCTTGATTTAGCTCGTGTGTCGACCCATGACTCTTCTTCAAATGTGAGGATACTCATATACATTCATGTCTTTAGGTTTATGAGGTTTCCCGAGCTGCAACTCCATCAACATCCATCGACAAAGCACGGCCTTTCCCTCTGATGAGTTGTACAAACCGCTGGCCAAAAAACTCAGTAATTCAAACCTCCAATTGATTCCCACCTCCTTGTGAGGCGCTGTTTCTGCGAGGGTTTTGGCATCCTCGCTTCCATCTGCGAAAACATCCAACACCTGGCACCAGTCGCATGGGTGGCATAGGTACATGAGATGTCTGATGCAAATAGACAGCCACACAAACCAAAAAAGCCTACCGCGTGCATGCACATCACCCAACCGCAAGCACCCACGAAACCTGGCTTTGAGGAATGATCCTGGCACTCAGAGTTTCTGCCTTCGAACCATCCGCACCTTCATCCCTTGGTCAATCACCTGCTTGGCGGTCGCCTCTTTGGCTTTCGCAGCCTGAGGAATGAAGTCTTCATCCGAGTCTTCGGGGCAAGGCCCTCCGATCCGGATGGTTCAAGAGCCCCAAATAAAGAGACAGCCAAAAAGGACTCAAGAGACATGAGTACCCTCTTAAGACTCTTGAGAAATCCTTTGGCTGTCTCTTGAGGTTTTTGAGAGTGCACTTGCCATACCACATTCTTCGACTTCGGCACAACGCCTGGGAGCAGCTCGTGGCTTGACCCGCAGTTTGGCCTTTCAACACACATTCCCCTAGGCCCTGATTACAACCTCAGTTCTCCCTCCGAACAAAATCTTTGCCAGGCAGCTGCAAAAGGATATGCACGGCCTACTGCAAGGCCTATAGCCTACTGCAAGGCCTATAGCACAGTAGCACTCCCACGAAAAATGCTTGATACCTCTCATAACCTCTCATCATATAATCTGAACCTCCTTGTGATCCATCAAAAGAACTCTCCTTTTTTCGCTGCCTGGATCCTCTTCCTCGCCACCTTTTCAGTCTCTTCTTCCGTCTGCTCCTGCGTTCAGGGCTGACGGGTGAAGCAGTGACTGGTGTCCATGAAACAGTGGAGGGTGGGAGGTCAAAGCCAAATGAGACATGAAGACGGACTTAGACAATGTGCGGCGGGATTTCTTTAGGACTCAAGAGACACAGCCAAAGACAAAGAATACAATCAGGAGAAAATACATTACTGTACATTCAGGAATAAGACCACTATAGACCACTTGAACCTGCAATATCAGTGAAATGCGTAGCTGTCACCCACCAAGGATGCCTCGGCACTCGCTTCTTGCTGCTGTGAGTGAGCATCAGCGAGAGCCTTCTTCACAATGTCAAGGGCCTCCTGGCGGGGCAGGTGCTGTGGCACTGTGCTTTCGGACTGAGTTTGAGTTCTTTTGTTTTTCGTCTGCACCCCTGCCAGAAGCAAACTTGAGGCCGAGGGTAGGTGACGAAAGCTAGCACGGGTGCATCCGGACTGGTGGGACATCAAGCGGAGTGAGGCAAATGCTCATGAGGTAAAACGTTGTGAACATGTAAGACACACAAACAGCAATGACACAGCCAACCTTAGAATTGAAGGCCCGATAATTAAGGAAGCGTGGCTGGACTTTGCCACACTGTTCGATGCATCCGATGTGTTCACGAACCTGTGAGCTTGTTGAATCTGCTGCACCGTATCCCAAAACCTCCACGGAGGAGTTGAGCCAGTGTGGATGCCATAAGAGGTGCCCAAAAGGTGTCCCAGAGGCAAAACAAAGCTGCTTGCATGATTTGTTTGGTTTCTTCTATCGATGTCGATGTCATGAACATGTGAGCTTGTTGAATCTGCTGTTGCATCGTCATGTATATGTAATGAGGGACTGAAGAAAAGCAACGCAGCATCATGAGCATCACGGGAAGTCACAAACCAGGCGTATCAGATACACCTGGTTTATGTATGTTTGTTTGAGCATCTTTGTCGAGTGAAGTGTCAGCCATATGCACTGAGATGCCGAAGGAAGCTCAAAGGCACGTGTATCTGATACGCCTGGTTTCTGACTTCCCGTGATGCTCATCATTGAAGCCTTGAACCCTCGCGTAAACTTGAGGCCGAGGGTAGGTGACGAAAGCTAGCAGGGGTGCATCCGGACTGGTGGGACATCAAGCGGAGTGAGGCAAATGCTCATGAGGTAAAACGTTGTGAACATGTAAGACACACAAACAGCAATGACACAGCCAACCTTAGAATTGAAGTCCACGATAATTAAGGAAGCGTGGCTGGACTTTGCCACACTGTTCGGTGCATCCGATGTGTTCACGAACCTGTGAGCTTGTTGAATCTGTTGCACCGTATCCCAAAACCTCCACGGAGGAGTTGAACCAGTGTGGATGCCATAAGAGGTGCCCAAGAGGTGTCCCAGAGGCAAAACAAAGCTGCTTGCATGATTTGTTTGGTTTCTTCTATCGATGCCGATGTCATGAACATGTGAGCTTGTTGAATCTGCTGCTGGATCGTCACGTATATGTAATGAGGGACTGAAGAAAAGCAACGCAGCATCATGAGCATCACGGGAAGTCACAAACCAGGCGTATCAGATACACCTGGTTTATGTATGTTTGTTTGAGCATCTTTGTCGGGTGAAGTGTCAGCCATATGCACTGAGATGCCGAAGGAAGCTCAAAGGCACGTGTATCTGATACGCCTGGTTTCTGACTTCCCGTGATGCTCATCATTGAAGCCTTGAACCCTCGCGTAAATTTCATGTTTCATGCCCCCCTTCCAAACTCAAACAGTGGCCTACTTCACCTGCCACCTAAACATAGCACTATAGCACGTACCGGAAGCGTCCCAGGGGGGAGTTGAACCCGCGGGGGGGGGGCCCCCCTACACGTGAAGTTTTCACGTGATTCATGATTCTCGAGGCTGCGAGCCTTTGACTTGCTAAAGCAAGAGCAACTCCAGCTAGCTGATGCTAGCTTTCGTGATTGAAAAAGGAATGATTACATGTTTAAGTTACCTGCATGTCATAGGCCCTAGAATCCTTAGAAGTTGAACTGCCTCCTCCCCTCTTCTTCTGCGTCCAGGAGCAGCAAGTCTGAAGAGCAAAGCCCCATGACCTCCCCTGACCCGTCTCGGCAGGGGTCCTGACGTTGGGAGGTCATCTTCCTGGTGGCGCGCCACGGCGTCGCGGCGCTGGTGGCAGCAACTGACCAATGGAAGTGCGCGGTCCCTAGATGGGCCAAAAGAGAAGATCCAAACCCAAGCTTCTATAAGCTGGTGTGCTCCTATCACTCATCAGAATCCTCTGGCTACTCCTGGGCGACCGCAAAATCCTGTACTTCCCCCGCTGTTGAAGCAACAAAGGAAGTACACACACCTCTTCACAGGCACAGCCTTGCACCGCCACGGTCACGTTCGTCAACTTCCCACGGTAGCCCGACCCGTTCACCCCGAGCCCGAGCCCGACCCGACGCACCGCCATGTCCGCCGCTCAACTGCACCAAGTGACCCATCCAAGTTCTCAATCATCGCCTTGGTGGACTCGACCTGGAGATAGCCGACCCCGCGGAGCGTGAGCAGGCGGCAGAGCAGGCATGGGGTCGTGGAAACACATGGGAGGCCATGAAGTACAGAAAAGAGTTCTATATATAAACCATTTCAGCCTGATTTTTGGCCAGCAAACGATGGGCCCACAAGGGCCCACACAACGCAAAGCGCATGTTCCAAGTGTCTTTGGAGAAAGGGGATGTGCAACGGATTCGGCATTGCCAACGATGCTGGACCCCCTTTTGTCAACAAAAAGTGGTGTGGCAGCTAGGGCATGCCCCACCTATTGGTTTGTTGTTCGCCCCTGTCAATCACCCAGAAACTGGGTGATCACGGAAACAAGCCGCTCCACTGTTCGTCCAGGACTGGACCTGCTGTTGCAACGTGTCGGTGTCCAGGCCGAAGTCTTTTTCTTGGATCAGGGCCTCTCGCCACATGGAGCAGCTCTGGGCTGCGAGCAGTGCGCGCGGCTAAGAACGTGCGTGCCGAAGGATCTCGGAGGCTGGAATGCTTGGCTGAAAGACCCTGCACTGAAGAAATCGATGCACAAGGTTGAACAGTTGAACATAGGGAAAAGGAGAGAAGATGATGCCTAGTGGTTATTAGTGGTTTAAAGAGAGGATTTACCTGCGCCCAAAACCTGGTATACAGACCTGTTGACTCACCGTGGGCGCACGAGCAGTGCACGCGGGTGCGAAGAAGGGCGCCATGCACTCGGGCGCCTCCTGTTCCTGTTGCAACTTCACCTCAGCAGCCTTGGTCTTCTCCAAGTTGTCCAAAGATGTCTTGTAGGACGTAGCCCTGGCCATGAATGCTCACACCACTTTTTTGTGCGGCTTCCAAACATGCATTACAGTAATTTCAGAGTAGATGGCACAATCCCCAAGATTTATACGGACCCCCATCCAAAAAATAAGCATGTGATAACATTTGGGGGTTTGTGCCATCTACTCTGAAATCTCTGAAACCACTAGTAAGATCACTCCTCTGGAACTGCTGCGTGTCGCTGCTTTGTGAAGTTTTCTCCCGGAAACTCGCCGGTGAACTGGTGAACTCTCCAGAACACCCACACTCGGCGACAGCTGAAAGTGTACCGGAAACATGCATCACCCTCCTGTGTCCGCTGTATCGGATCGGACCATACGCCCATGTAGTAGCACGGCACTAAATCCGGATAATTATAAGCTAGTTACATGATAATCAGTATAGTAATTAGTTAATACTTACAGAATCATACACAGTATGTTATATGATGTTATATGTCTGTGGATCGCAGACATAATCGATACAAGGCTCACCAGGCTCCAGGACATGCTCGCTCTCCTTCCGCGCCTGATGATCTCGCTCACAATCTCCGGCATGGCTTCCAGCGCCGCAGGGTCCACCTGGACCAACCTAGGCCGACCGCGGGGCGCAGCGGGTTGCGCCACCTGTAAAGCTCTGACCCCCCCGGGCCGGTTCGTCGGAGTCACAGTTCTTCCAGCATCAAGAATGGCGGTTCAGCAGGGAGTGGTGGGACTGCGTTTTCCGAGTGGCAGTCCTCTGCACCCAAACTCCACGGCCCTGACTGCAGCCCAGGAACGACTGGCTTTTCGCTGCACTTTGGAGGGCTTCCACATCGACCTGAGCCTGAGCGAGGGTCAGGCTCCGTTTCATGGACACGTTTGCAGAGGGACCCAACATGTGAAAGACCTGTGATGTACTGCACCCTTAAGACTCCTGGCTCAATTCCCAAATGGTGATTGATATTGATTTATATAAAAGGTCATGCCAAAATGGTCTTTGGATGTCTTTGGCATTTGAGCCAGGAGTTCTGGGGGAGCTGTACATGTTCTAGACTACTCTCAGGTGAAACCACCCAGGTTTCGCATTCCTGCCTGGCTTTGGACCTTCAAATGCCGGTGTCTATGATGGTGACGAACTGCTTCACTGAAGCCTGCAGAAGGTCAACAGCTTGGTCCAAAACGAACACTCTCGGACACTCTTGGAATTTGTGGTGATTGCATCAACCTCCTCAATTTCTGGACTTTCACCACTAAACAGGGTTGAAAACAAGACGGATGGTTTGACTCACGCAGGAAACTGTTTTTTGGGGGGTGTTCTTGACCTGACCTTGACCTTCTCGCCCGCGGAGGCCATTCGGCGTGCCTCGCTACAAGTTGGGTCAAAGAACCACTGGAAGCCCACCGTGACTTGGCGAGCGCCAAGGGCCCGCTGAAACTGAACCACTAGCTCTCTGCACGTGGCGCAGTGAAACCTGTGTGCCCGATGACTAGTTTTGTAAGTGGTAGAAACTGTCCAATGCCCACCTCGGATCGGCTCCAAACTAGCAACCCGATCACGGCTCTCTCTCTCTCTCATGAAGTGTTGCTGAACCAACGTCAGAAAACCGGCCCCTTCCTTCCAGCTTTGTTCACTAACTTACTTGCTTGATCTTGCTTGCTGTTGTTGACCCTAATTACCTCGACACCCACAGGGGAAACCACAGCAAATTGGCTCATGAGTTCCCCCCACCGCGGCACGGTGGATTCCGGCCTGGTAGGGCCAGAAGCGCTAGCACGAAATGCATCGCGGACCCCATGGCGCTCGGTCCCGAAGCTCTTCGTTGGGCGGAGCTCAGCCGAAACGCCGGGCATTTCGGTGTAAACCCGAGGCCTTGGGATGGTCACATCATGGACGCCTGTTGCTGGTCACATCCATGGATGACTCCTGCTTGACGAATTCTCTTGCTATGAATTGCTTCTCATCAAGCTACCAGGGAGTTCTCTGAAACACATGTTTCTCGGAACCTGGGGTCATTACTTTGAAACCTGTGCTCCCAAATGGGACAGGTTTAACCCAATTGATCGGTCCAAACAAAGAAATGAGAAACAGAATCCCTCCTCACAACGTGTTTGCCTGATTTTGCCTGCATATGCTTGGCTTGGCGACTTGGGCAGGGCAATGTTGTCTCTGTCATGGTTGGCGCTCCGCTCCTCTGTTCAACCACACGATGGCCCAGTGTTCTTTTTGCCGTATAGTATAGCCGTTCAGAGAAGGTAGTTTCACGAGGAGCTTCAGGCGTGTCAGGCGCTTCAGGAGCTCCGTTTCATCAGGGGGCTCACTATGTTGCTGTGGCTGTGTGCGTCGTTTCTTTCCCCATTCCTCGACCGTATCCATCATGAGAATGGCTGGCCTCTTGACTGGGCCTTAAATGATGGCTTAAGTTAAGGTTCTTTATTTGCAGGGGGGCAGTCCAGGGGAGTGCAGGGGGGGTAGTCTCATGAACCCACCTTTGGCTCTCCCCTTTTGGCTCAGACCGCCGGTAGCAAGTCAGGTACCTGCGGAATCGTGGAGGCCGCGTTCAGCCGAGCTGAGCAAGGCAGGAATCATGAAACCACACGACCGAAAAGCCGGCCCTGAGGCCAGCCGCTCATACAAGTGGGGAAAGCATGGGAAAGCACATGTTTTGCAACAGGTGGCATGGTTTCGCATGAGTTTGGGGTAACCCCGACTCATCACGTGGGCTTCCATGACGGTGGGCAACCGCTTTAGCAAGCCAGATTGCGTGAAGAAACGCCTTGGACCAAATTTCACAGCCACAGCATCTACTGGAGTGTTTTTCTCTCAGTGTGTCGCATCAAGTGAGCGCTATGCCGCTATTTCTTGCAGAAACTCTGATGTACTGCGACTGCCAGTGAGACAAGCAGCTAGCAGCTTAGCAGAAGCGTCAGCTCAACACTGTAACTCCACGTGAGCACTACTGAGGGCCCGGAGCGTCACCGTCTGACACGCAGCGGGCCTTCCTGCAAAGGCTTCTAAGAGAAACTCAGGCACCAGCTGTCCTTCTGCCAGATCCGCTGCAGTCAACCCGTGGGAATTCCGCACATCCACTCGTGCCCCTGCAGCTACCAGTGCCGCAGCACCTTCGTATTGAGCGGTTAACATGGCCAGCATCAAGGGTGTTGCTCTGTGACCACCGTGGTGCAGGATCTTGGTCAAGGTGGTCTGCCTTCCAAGTTTGTGCTGAACAGATTTCACCCTGGCCAAGAGTCCCATTGCTGATGACAGTTTCCACCAAGTAAATGTTTGGTCATTCACATCAGCCCTCAGCTCAACGAGGTGTTGGACTAGCTCGGCTCGACCACCATGGAGAAACATGGCAGTATGGAGAGCAAAAGTCATGTTGAGGCCTTGCCCTCCAGTTTTTCGCAGCAGCTCCTGCACTGCATCCGTGGAACCATGGGCACAAGCTGCGTAGAACGCTGAGACCAGAATGTTCCCCTCATGCGGACTGCAGCCGGCCGCGCACAGTGCTCGGATGCCCTCTGGATTGTTTGCCACACCTGCAGCTAACATTGGGCTCCAAATGGTATGTCCAACACCAGCAAGGCTGGCTTTGGCAAAAATCAGCAAGCGCGTAGCATCAAAATGCTGGAAGAAAAGGCAAATTGATAGTGCCGAAGAAAGAGGTGGTACTCCTAAGAGGGGTTGGTCTTGTCGTGTTCTCTGGTTGGGATTGGCTCGCCGCGCCAGCAAGCCTTGAATCAAGGGGCAACTTCCACTCAGGGCAGCATAGTGTATGGGCAACCAACCCCCACGGTCTCTCTCAGAAATTCCAGTGAGCCCGTTCTGATGTAGAAACTCCTCCACAAGCGAACCCAAGTCAAGCGGATCGGCCGAGAAGCTTGGGAGAGGTGTATAGAAGTCCTCCACTCCGGTGCCTCTCAAATACACGCTCTGCTGGTTAAGTACCACACGGTAACTCACCAAATCCCGAACCCGTAGCAGCTGCCTCAGCCTGTGCCTCAGCAAGGGTACAAGTACTTGGGCAATCTTGGCTCGATCCTCTTCAACGGAAAAGTCCCCTTCAGCTGCTGGGCCCATCATGGGGTCGGTACCGGCACCTCCATTCAGCTCGAGCACCGCAGAACCTTTCACACGAATCCAGGGCTTCTGCTGGCCCAGTTCGTAGCAAGCCCTTTCCAAGCGACACCAACCTCGCTGAGACCATGAGGATGGGGAGAAGACCTTGGAAGCGGCTTCACTTTCGATCACGGGGCACAGGACGAAGAAGAAGGCACTTGAAGCCACATATGCAGGGATGCTGTCGATGGCTTTGGAGAGCTCGCTGCGTTCAGAAAGGTTCGACGGTCTTTCCAGTTGAGGACATGAGAAATAGTCGTACCAAATGAAAAGGTGTCTCGATGTAAGTTCAGATGTGGCAAAGGTTTGGCTACTTGGCAGCACTGCCTCCGAACTGACGTCCAGGGGTATGTGCTGCAACTGGGACATTGCATGCCGTAGGGCTGCCTGAAAAACGCGCATCTGCTTGAACTCTGGATCTGGATGGTCCAGACCCACCCACTGGTGTGAAACAAACGCAGCATTGCCGAGGCTCTGATCAAAAACCACGAGGGTTCCTTTGGCTTTCAGCTCTTCATGCGGTTCGATCTCACCCATTTGCAGCAGTGCTGCTAGAGGTACCGTGTACATGGGCAACAGCATTGGATTGGCTTCGTCCTCGGTCAATGCCAATGACTCAGCATAAGAAGCCAATGGCGTAAGAGGAGCAGGGGATCTACAGCACAACATTGCTCAAAAGTCAGCTCCTCTCAAGTCCTCTTAAGCGCAAACCTTCGTAGATGGCAAAACCATAAAAGATTGAACCTGAATACTTGGCCTTGAGCCAAACGACTGATCTTTTAAATGGGCATATGCCGGCACACTACTTCGCGCTTGTCCCCCCAAAAAAAAACAAGAGTTTCAGCTCCATCGACATGTGTTCGATCCTGGATCCTGGTCAAGCCAGATTCTTTTGGGAA